TATATATATATAAAATGTATGTTCATCAGTAATTGACTTGCCAACACACCTCTACTTTTCGCCCAATTAAGTTTGATTGAATATGTCTATTGAAAAGCTTGCAAGGTGAATGACATAATTATCAGTATGTCAAAACACTACTTCAATTAAACTATTATTTCAGCTACAATACATGCATTTTCTCTCAGTGACATGCACCTAATCATTCTATTTGTTACAGGAATAGGGTTTAGTTTAATCAGAGACTTATGTTAATGTTAAAATGTAACCATGTACATAGCCATAATCCAGTAGGTGATTATATTAAATGTATAGTCCTGCTGTGTGTCTGTATTTTGTGTTCTTGCTGTATTTGTGTCTTGCTGTGCTGTGTCTCTATGCTGGGTTATAGCTAGCTCACACCTACTACTAGTAGAGATTTGTTTATGTGCGTGATCCTCACAATATATAAGCACAGTATTCCTGCATTACTTTGACTTTGTTGATTATAATTGGTACTATCACAGTTTTATTTAATGTAACAATGTGAAGACAGTAATGTTTAATAATCGACAGCAATTGGTTATCAACTGTAAAGTGAAACTCAAACCAAAACTTTATTACGCAGTCTTGATTAGGGTGCAAAATAGTTAGAACCTCTGTCAGGGGAGGAGATGTTGGGGAACTTTTACATAATTTCTTGCCCTAGTGGCCACCTGTTACCAGTACAGGAAATATGTTTAAATCTCTCAGTAGGGACAACAAACCTGACACAGAGATAGAAGAAGTAGTCACCGTCACACCAGTCTCCACTCTACCAAGCAATGTTTCGGAATCAAACCCTTTGCCCGCCTGATGAAGGAACCTGTTTGGTTCCTTCATTGATGATGATGATCATCACTTTGCCTGATGAAGGAACCTGTTTTGTTCCAAAACGTTGCTTTTCAATATGATGTTATAACTATCCAATGTCAATAAAAATGGAAGGGTGGAGTGGAGACTGAGTGACGGTGACTTTTTTTATCTCCGATTACATGCGGCTCCATACACAGACACTGCAGCACCCACCTGAGGATCTCTGGTTTATATGACCGAGTAGTGTGATGGGACTTTCATGCAACAAAACCTGACACAACTCCAACCAGTCATCACACTGAAGCTAGTGTCCCAGCTGTAGAGATCCCTTATGTGAGGGTAAATATCCCTACCTTTGGCACAGACACCAACAAAAGCCTGTTGGAGGTCCCAACCCTTACACACTCCATCCAAAATTAAAAATAAAGTAGACTGAAGATGTAGTTGTAAGAATTTCCGGCTAGCCAGACTAAGAAAAGATAACTTTTGAGTGGTTGGTGCACATAGATGCTTATTACACCTCCTAGATGATGGTGCCATTGTTTGAGATGTAAGAATATCTTCCTGGTTGTAAAGTAAATTATTTGCACTTAGTCATTTCAAGCTATGTAGGTTACAAAAATGTTCATAATGAACAGTTACTTCTAGGACATAATCACTGCACAGGTAAGGTCTTCCAGTTGCAATGTTAGAGTAAATACTGCTATTGTATGTGTGTTCTGGTGTACCTTTCTTTGAGTAAATCTGAGCTGAGAATATTATATAATATAGAAAGTTTGTAGCACTCACCAATTTATTTTTTGAAGGGAGACACAGACTAGTGCATGGAAAAAAGGTTTCCCAAGGGGACTGTTCCTCTCCCTGTATTCTCACAGGGGTGGATCTCAGTGCTTCTTCAATATTACAGTCCATAGAAAATGTCCAGGGAACTCACGGGATACAACTCTATTTAAGGTATCAAAAATTTGGCAAAGGTATCAAAAAACACTTTGAAAACATTCGTCCAATGACCGTTTCTCTTGCAATACAAATGCCTTGATAATTTGTGTGCATTGCTCTAAAGAACGGTCATTGGCCAGATGTTTTAAAGTGGCTGGAAAAGAGGAGCAGCTTCGAGGGACCTGTCGTCACTACCAAAATTGGTGGGGAGAACACCAACAGAACCATGGAGTAAGGTAAATAATTCTCTCTAGAGACCCCCTCCCAGAATAAAGTAGCATTTCTTTCTGAATATTATGGAGGGGCACCCATATTTTATTTTTTAAGCTGACTGGAGTTTAGCTTTCAATATATGCAGAGTCCCTGACCTGGAAGAAGTATGCAAAAAAGTTCTGATTTCTACTCACACTTTTCTGGCTGCATGCTTGTTCCAGGTCATCGACTCAGTGACAGGAAATGTTAACGTTAGAGGATCAAGCATTACTGTAAGGCATTTTGAGTTTTCAGAGGAAAGTCAGTAATGTTCTCCTATTTATCTTGTCACAGATTTTCTTTAAACACCATATATCCTCAAGACTTAAATTATGTCTATTAACTCTCGTCTGTCAATCTGGCACTATGGCTTAGATCATTGTTATTCTATGTGTGACCTTGAGAGAAGCTGCCACATTATCTTGTACAGTATGAATATGAATATGTAAAATGTGAACTGTTATTTTTTTTTCCTGTTTATGAAAAAAAATAAAAAAAAAAATATATATTCTTTAGGAGGGAACCAAGATGGGAAGTTCATGGTTGGTTACCGTGATGGTGTCCTGAGAACAGTTGTGGGTCTTGACAGGGAGACTATGGCCTTCTACAGCCTAGTGCTGGAAGCTATTGGTAAGGAAGTTCAAAATTCAAAGGTTATCTTGTAAACTTGAAGTGATGTAAGTTGTAACTAATGAATGCGAGAATGATTTAAATTTTTTATGATAAAAGACAGTAAAGCTGTCCACACAGGCAAATCCAGTTTTGAATTTTTGGCTTTTCCATTTTATATCCAGATGTCATAATTCAAGAGCAGAGCTTTGTTTATATTCAAGACAAGATTGAAAGCCTTTATTGGGTAATTTGGTCAACAATGGGTTACCTCTGTAGCAAAGTTGCATCATGTATTGGTATCTTTGAACATTTATTTCTATCTTTAGCAAGTGATTGAAGAAGTAAAGATCTATTATTGTGAGTGATTATATATTCACCACTGGTATGTGTTTAACATGTTTCACAGACAATGGGCCAGCTGGAAATCGGAAAACAGGAACAGCCACTGTCCTGGTGACGGTACTGGACATTAATGATAACAAACCAATCTTCCTGAAGAGCAGTTATGAGGCCACTGTTCCTGAAAATATTCCAGAATCCAGCAGCATTGTCCAGGTCAGTGACGTGATCACATTACATTTTTAAAGAACACTTAAGTCGGACATATTTACCTTAATGATCAACCAGTAATTTCAAATGTATTGAAATATATGATTATCAAAAAGTAAAAAACTTTTCCAACTTTTAGCCTCTCTGACATTCCCAGTAACTCCAGGTTATAATGGCAACCACAAATCGTTGTACTCCTGAGTTGTCATTCCTGTCCTTTATCAAGTTTGCCCTCTCTTACTAGCAGGTTTGTGTTCTGTGTGTAACACAACTCTAAACAGCTCTGGGATACAATGCATGCCCTACAACAATATGAATTCTTATTTTTTATTTGTTTTATTTGTCTCGTGATTTTGGTTTTATTGACTTTTTTAAACCAGTTAATATGCATTTACCATATAGTGTAAATCTAACACACTGGCATATTGTTGCACATACATGAGATATTAGGCCTTGATTATCATATAAACTGGTATATATATATATATGATTGACAAAAGTTCAGGTGCATGTATAGTATATTTGCTTACCTTTTGTACATTTTTGCTGCAATTACTATTACAAAGTAGAGATACTTAATGTTATTGTCTGTTAATTTACATTAGTTACTTGTCTTAACAACTGTGAATTGGTAAACAGTGTTGTGAAAGCAGTTTAGGTGTGACGTCCAATGAGAATCTATCCCCAAATCATAATTTATATCTTTCTCAGACCGACTGAGCGTAGAGATCTATACATGCCCTTTTACACATATTGTAGGCCACAATTGAAGTGTGTTGGAATTAGTATAAGAAAAGATTCCATATTGGTCACTTCTCCAAACCATTTTGAGCACGCTGCTCCTCTTTAAAGAATACCTTCGGTCACAATAACAATTAACCCTTGCAGTGGGGCTATCCCGGTACTGCAAGGGCTTTTTGCTAGTTTTCCACCAGGGGACTGAATGAAGAAGATGCACTCACTGGAGCCTCGTCCCTGCGGTAGAGACCACTCTCCTCTCTCACCCTTTGCTCCAGCAATGGAATGTTCCTCGGAGTCCTCACGTCTAATACATTGTATTAGACATCATGGGTCCTTAGACCACCAGAGCCAAGGGGAGAAGAGGCTGCAGGGACTGGTCTAACAGTCCCTAGACCAAACCAAGCAGTTATCCCTTGTAGTGCATTGGTAGCCCCACTACAGAGGTAAATTTTTATTCTACTCAGAGTTCTTCTGTAACAATATGTATATTTTTTAGCTTATAAATTATATACTCTTTTATAATTTTTATTTATTTTTTATGATAGAAATTCAAATTAAAAATTGTACATAACAAAAAGCAAACACTCTGGTAAAATTGAGTCACTCGTATTTTATCTTCAAATATGTTTAAAGTTGATATTTTATCATTCCCTTTTGAAGAGTAATATTTTGGGCACGGGGGGGAAATAATCATACAAATGCTGGTGTTTAAAGCTGAGCTCCATGCAGAAAAACATTATATAAATATATTTCTCAATAGCCACAAATAACTTTGTGTGCACCAAATGCCTTTACAAACCCAGGTATTACCTTGTAATAGTAGCATTGACATCATTACTGTGTTCTACAAAGCCTGTGCAGAGAGCAGAGCTGTGCGAAGAACCTAGTAGGCTCCACCCACTACAGGCTGCCTGCAGAAAGCTACAGGAGTGGTGGAGACGAGACCTGCCACCCTGCACAAGGAGAAAGATGAGCCGTAAATGGTCTGTATTACAGGAAACTCCTTCACAAAGGTAAAGTTTACACTGGATTACTGCACAGATCTGGCAGAAATACACAAAGCACACCAAGATTCCAGTAAGAATACACATGACTCTTGTATTTAGACAATATTTGCTTATCCCAAAATTAATCTTTAATACAACAAACAATGTGAAATTAGTACTGTCGGTGGTAGATGTGGTCTGCTGCAGAGTACATCTCAGATACCACAAGCCTACCTTGATGTAATGCTGACTGTAGCTGACAGTGCACATACAGTTATAAAATTAGCTTTGCATGGAAAGACTGTCTGTTAGTTAAAATACTTCTGTGCAAAGCATATGCCTTATAAAATAATAACACGTATGTTTTTTTGTTTTATAAAGTTACTCTTAGGAAGAAATACAGAAAGTGTAGAAATTGGCCAGTTTTCAGCTCGTTTTTTTAAACATCCTCTAATGAATCCTACATTTGAATGCATCTAAGGGACAGACCGTGCTTGTTATCTGGAGCAATGCTTCCTAACTTTACAGAATATGTATTTACACTATATGGTCTCCAAATAATGCACTCTGTTTTTATAAAAAGTAAAAATGCTTGCACTGGTTTTAAGTGAGTTTTTTTATCAAAACTTTAGAATGATATTGTGATCTTACTTCATCAGGCAGATGTACCTTTGAACCAGTCAAAAGCATCCCTCTGTGGTACATATATAGAAACTGTGGCCTTAAGCCGTTAGACAGATTTTGCCTTTTGTTCTTCCTCACAGTACTTGGTGAATGAAAATAAGAAAACGGGGGGCTACTGTGGGTAACAACAATTGTAATTTCTTCACATACTGTGAGGCCACTTTGTGCACTTCTGATTGAAATGTATCTAAGAGCATGCAGAATTAGTGTCTCAGAAATAGACTCTACAAGAGATGTCCATGTGATGACAGTTGAAGTCACTAAACAAATCAGCAGTGGCTCAAGTGTACCTTGCAGTCTAGTTGGCACATCTAGTGTATTATCTGATCAAATAAGTATAACTAGAACATGTTGAATCTCCCAGGGGACCAGGTGCATGTAACACTTGGTAACATTTAGATATACTGTGCTTAGGAAATAAAAGCACATATTCTTCTGTTTGTGTTGGCTGTCAGGTCCACCCCAGACTGAATCCTTCCAATGGGGTAATTACCAGGGCATCACTGTAGCTACCTGCCCTCTTCTCATTGAGGTAGGTGTGTTGTATGTGCCCCTCCCCTCCTGCAAACCTTTAGCCAGACATGAATCAGGCAGCTGTTACCTGGATTTAGTTGGATACGCGGGTGGGGTTTTGGTTCCACTTGCCAGCTGGTATTTCGTCTTCTAACAACATCTGCAGGCCTGTAAACTTCTACCCCTGTGCAGCTGTCAATGTTCAATAACGTTCTTTTTTTTCTACAATTGCACTAACATGGCTACGTTGACCCAACCATAAATGCATTTCATAGACAGAATTGTCTCACTACTATGATTATCTGAATACTGGGGATCTTGGTGCAAAATCATCATTGAGTAACAACTAAGACTGGAGTGCAGACTGCCAGAGATGATGGCTGTCACCTCCTCCTCTCCTCTGTGTACACTGTCTGTCATGACTCATGACCCCTCTCTTTTGTGTGTGCTATCACTTATATCTAGTTATGGGTCATCTCCTTCTGTTGACCATGGTAGCTTCCCAACCACAGCACAAATCTGAATGGGATCAAGTGCTAAATGCACTAGGTCCCCAGGAGGATTTAACAAATATTTTCAAGTGCTGGTTATACTTCTACAAACCGAATTCTGCATGTTTGAAATATTATCTAAGACACAACCAAAATCCAGCAACATTCAGCCCTAATACATTTTACCAGCTGCGGTAGGGCTACATTTTATATACACATGTAATTAGAAACTGTTACAGAGCAGATGGTGGCCATTTGCCGTAGTAATTATTAGTTTACAGTGCAAGTATATGGCCATGGTAATTATCCACTTAGACGTGACCCAACAGAACTCATTCATTACATCTTTAGCTAAAACGTTTCTTTACATATTCACGCTAAAGATTTATCTTGTATTGGAACAGGCGCTTGTAATTACTACAGATCTACAAAATAAAAAGACCAAGGTTTAGTATAGCTTTGTGTATTGCTGCCTGGTTTTCTTTGTGCATTGTATGTTTTTAGTGCAGTTCCCCAGAGTGTTCCATGCCTCCACATTTCCATAGTACATCGGAAGAGCTAGATTATGAATCGATGCAACTCTGGGCACTGGGGCAGATGAATGCCCTAAACTGGAAAGCAGGCACACTGCAAAGGCATTCCTTTCTATCAAAACACCCTTCTATATAATGTCTCTGTATTATATTTTTACTGAAAAAGAACATGTTGTGACTGCTATGCTGTTAGGCAAAGCTTTATGTGTCACGTAAATCTTTATCTTTAGTTTATTAAAAACAAAAATAGTTTTACACCAAGCTAAGACTGATTTTTTGCAGTCTCCTTCATTTCTATTTTTTCTTTTAAAATAATCATCTGTGTACACTTTTCCTGGATACGCGCTTGAAGTAAAACTCATTGCTAACAACAGGGTACAGTGATGTGTTTTATAAACTTGTTTTCTGCTAAGTTTGCTTTGAAACTCTAATGCAAGTGAAGGCTCGTTTATTCTTAAGAATGGGGAGGGGAAAGGGCTCTCCACCTATCCTGGAGTGTTCTCTGCAGTCAATGGCAGCACATTGGAGGCTCTACATAGCATTCTGCATTTTATGAGTGAAAGCTGAAATGCATGCGCTGTGTGGAATGATCACTGTGACTTCCTGCAGAGTGCAGACAAGGGTATGCAATCTCCGTTATGAATGTGTACATTTAAATAAAAACATGCATACTGAATCGTGCAAGTAAAATCCAATGAGACAATGCCTATCATCCCATCAGCTTTGCTGTGGAAGAACAGAGGACAGTGGGAACCTTCCCTCACATACATTATAAAAGGATCTTTCCCTTTTCTTCGATAACCCCTATTTAAAAAAAAAAATCTTCCACCAGAATGATGCTACATTCATTTTTGATAGAGTAAGATTTATGGGCTTTTTTTTCATCTATGTCACATTAGGGAAATTTCTGTTTGCTTCCTGTCCTGCAGACACAACAGCATGTCCCTCCAAACTCAAATGCCCATTGAAAGATGGCTCCTCTATCTCTGTTCTTGTGACAAATTGTAAGATTTTCTTTTAATGTAGGTTCCAGTTAAAGTGGTCACCAGGACAAATTGAGAGAGTGAATCTCCCTAATAGCTACACAGACAGCAAGAAAAACACGACAGTAGTTGTAACCTCTCACAACCCTAAAAAAGAAATGACTAGAACAGGAAATAGTACCTCTATTGGGTTTTTATTACTGTTGTCACTGAAACAGAAGGACATCTTCCAGTTGGAACACGGATACTGGAGACAACTAAGATGGAATTTCCCTTTACTTTAAAGAGGTTTCCTTTCACTTGATGTGCTGACAGGAAGTAAAGGGAAATATAGGGCAAGGGTTTTACCTGTTCCCTATTCTATCCTAAATGTTTTGACCCAAGATATACTTCAAATGATTATCCAGTTAGGTAAAATGTACTTGGCCCATAGCTACATTTGCAGGAAAAAAAGTGAATTAAATTAATCCTAAAGTGTTCACATGCTGCCCCCATCTTGGCCCGAGGCACATGTTTAGTTATTAAACCCTGCTGTTATACAATTGAAAATAAATGTGAAAATTTGAGATTCTTTATTGGCAGCTCTAATCATCATTGCTTGCCCTGTCCCACTGGTAAAAAGGTTTTGACTTCAATAACCTGTAAGCACTACAAAAGCATAAAACTAAAATTAATTTGTGAAATATGCCTCATTGTTTCCGGTAGTAAATACCAAAAATCCTTTGCAGTATTTTAGTTCATACAAATAAAACCATGCTGTTAAAGTGGCAAATCACATTTTGGTAGACTCCATGAAAGACCAGTCTTGGTTGGCTTGTGCTCGTCTTGGATTAGTCCTTTGACACTGAGATATTGGCCGACTGCGCCGGAAGCTGATCGATTGCCTGAGTGAGCCGAGCCTCTTCCACAGTCTGAGCTGTGGCTCACTGGCATCTTCCACATGATAAGGCATAAATTCCTGAGGTCCATATAGAGATTGGTCTAGGGCCGCAGGCTTGCAGAGCGTCACAAATATGAGGCAGGTTGCAAGCAACAGGAAAATACATGCGAGTGATATGATAATAGGCAGGGGGTCTGTAAAATCCAAAGGGCTGTTGGTGGTATTCGTGGGAATACTCTCTGTGGTGGTGTTTAACTGTTGAAGGAAAGTAGTGCCCCCTAGTGTTTCATTGTTGAATGGTTCTGCAGTTTCGGCAGTCATATTTCCTGTTAAAAAAAGGAAGTGATATAATATTACAACACCAATATGCTCCTTCTTTATGTTTGTTCTTTATAATAATACATCCTATAATAAAGATATAATATACTAATTTCTAATCTCCCTCCAGCAATGCATTCCTATGCCTAATTGCTCATATTCAATTCATGGAAAATTGTAGTTTGTGTTCAAAGTCAATTGTTGCCATCACCAAATACACAGTCCAAAAATACTGCACGCTGGTTTTGAATATCTTCCTAATGGGACTGTGTACAGCAAATAACTATTAGCAGTAAAGGGTTACTTGAAATATACAGAATATATTGTATATGTATGTGTGTACAGTATATATGTATATTTTATTGCATTTTAGCAGGCCTTTGTTTTTTTGTAACAATGGCATTTCCAACAGAAACATTTTAAAGTCATTGGCATAGCCTAGAGATGAATACCAGACAGCTATAATGCTTAAAGTGGAGGTCCAGTCAGTAGAGTGAATACATGTTTAAACCCTTAAATGCATTAAAACTTTCATCAAATATAGTGAAACAATCAGACAACAATTTACTGAAATCAGGTGAAATAAAACTCTGATTCTCTTGATTTCAAATTTTCAGGCTAGGAGAAGGGAATTCTAAATTTAGAGCCTTAGGGCCTATTCTCACTTTTCTGTTTCTGTGCATTGTTTTATTGTACGTTAACATGCATTACAGTAAGGCAGCCTATGCATTTCCTTCATTACAAGCAAAGATGCTTAGGCTCTTGTGCCAGTGACGTGCAGTACTTCTGTGCTGGATGAGGCATTCCCCAGCATGCCCCAGCATGCCCCAACCCCCAGCACGCTGATACACCGCCCCCCGTAGCCCCTCCGCCAGCCTGCCAAAGCCCCTCCAAACTGTTACACATTCTAAAAGTCCTTCTTAATACTTAAACAATAGCAACGCTTCATACACTTAAGTCAGATAAACAGTTCAGAACTATTCAGTTGTCATCATGGAAGTTTCATGCAAGCTTGGGACAGAAAGTTTAGAGACCGGGACAATTTAGAGCCAATTTTGAGACAATTCTTCTTACAAAGGTATTTAAGAAGTAAACCTAAAAAAAATTTTTATTTTAAATAAATCTGTCACCATATGCACTAGAAATGAGGGATGTGACAGTTTAAAAGACGCTGGTGATGCAATGAAACTGATAAATTTCCCCAATGTGTTTTACGCAGCATAGCAAATGTAAAAATGTAAGGCACGCGGATCAGGCGCAACAATTTCGACAGATCTGAAAAATAATTACCTTCAGTTTTATTTAACGTTTTTCAGCAACATTGTGAAGTTGTCATTAATGCTTTTAAGGCTTTTCATTGTGGCTGCTTTATGCTATTTGGTACATGCATATTAAAAGTCATTGATTATTTTAGTCATTCATTTAGGCAGACATTATTAAGCTGTCATCATGCAAGCAGCTTAAATGTTTTGCAAAACTTACCATCAGCCGCGAGTAGTAGCTGAGTTGTATAGATGTGTCAAGTGTTTCTTCTGCCAGTGGATTTAGGGGAAAGGAGGCTGGCAGCATTTAGAGAAATCTCTAGTGAAAAGGCATGGGAGCTCTCTGACTCTGCCCTGTGTTCTATGGCAGCTCATGTATCAGGATGTGTATATATATATCTATAAGTGCAGATAATCTCAGCAGGGAGTCTTCAGCAGGGAGCAGCGTGAGAGGATTTGCATACATTATGGGGAGGTACTCAAGAGTCAAAGTTCCTTAAATAATAGAAGTTTGAGAGTTGTGGCCTGACATCCTGAAGTATTTGGACTATGACTATTGTTTTTATAGTGTTACACATTATTAGTGTGCTGTCCGATGTTGTTTAGGATGCTTGCACTTTTGTGTTTAATCAAAAAGAAAAAGGGTATCATTGCAATATCAGGGGGAACAAGTGAATGATATGCAGTAATTAAACAACTGCACGTATTTTGCAGCCATAAATAAATGTGGACATCCGTCCCAGCGTCAGATCATGATACCTGCTCAACTGGACTACTTTACATCATGTTATTCCTAGTTTACTATATTCTTTTAGTTGTAGTGCTATGTATTAATATCTGGTTAGATTTATGTAAATTATTTAACTATACCAGCTCTCAAAACAACATAATAGAAGTGATCACTGCACCAGGCACCCCTCTTGGGTAATTTTGCAAGTTAGTTGGGGCCACTGCCTGCCAAGCCTACAGCATATCCAATCACACAGATATTTAAATTGTGCAAGTCTGATAACACATGTTTTTACATTTAGGCATCATTACAGGAGGATAATGGAGTTTAATTAATACAAGATACAAGTTATAATTATCTAACAATCATATCTTCACAATTACATACTTCTCAACATTCTGAGATGAGAATGATGGACACTTTCCAGTACAATGAGGCAATATTACTAAAATTGGAGCTGACAGAATCTGGAGTAGATGTGTGTAGTAACCAATCAGCTTCTCTCTTCACTTTATTCAGATAAGCTTTGAAAATAAAAGATAGAAGCTGATTGGTTGCCATGCCCAGCTGCTCCTGATCTGTCTGCTCCAGTTTTAATAAGCCCCCCCCTCCCAATCTATTTAGGCAATAAGCATATGGGCATACCCCTGCCATGCCCTCCGTTATTTCAGGCCATTATGAATTTATATGCCAAAAATGATTGCTCAAACCCAGAATAGATTTTTTTACACTATTACTTTTGCTTTATACTGACTTTTCAAAATTGCAAAGATAAGAGTAAAGATGTTTTTTTCTTTATAAATGCAGCAGGTTATCTACATTGTACAGATGTGCCACTTTACAGGCAGTTTAACCCCTTAAACCCCTTAAACAGTTTAATCCCTCAGGCACGATATTTAAAGGGATTTTTAATTTTTACTGTTACCCTTTAAGACATGTTAAAATCACTGCTCCATAGACGTGCATTGAGTTTGAATTCAAACTTTTCTCATGTTCGAAATATCGAATTTGAACTGAACCGAACACGGGGCTGTTAAGTCCATCACTACTTGTCACAAATCTGGCCATTATGTCTTAAGGTTTGCTCCTTTTTGTGCATTCTGTCTGTCTCTAGGCTATTTTACCACTAAGTATTTCTCATTGCTCTTTCCTACAATGCATCTCCTTTCCTATGTTTCATTAGCTCATTGTTTGTGGTTTATTTAGATGCTCAGCCCTCACCAGCCACAACATATTTGTAAACATAAATTTGAAAAGACTATACAGGTGGAACTCGAATAATTAGAATATCGTGCAAAAGTAATTGCAGTAAGTGTTGCAAAAGGGGCCCAAACCAAGTACTGAGTACATATGCATGCTTGTACTTTTCAGAGGTCCGATATTGTTCTATGTACAATCCTTGTTTTATTGATTGCATGTAATAATCTACTTTTTTGAGGTTGTGGATTTGGGGTTCTTGGGGTTTTCATGAGCTGTAAGCCATAATCATCACAATTATGACAAATCACGGCTTGAATTATCTTGCTTTGCATGTAATGAGTCTATCTCATATATTAGTTTCACCTTTTAAGTTGCATTAGTGAAATACATGAACTTTGCACGATATTCTAATTATTCGAGTTTCACCTGTACATAGCATCACAATTATTTTCAAAAGCTACATACAGAAACAAAGGGCAGACAAAGGAAAACAGCTGTTTCTTTTACATATTTATTAGCTAATTATGTGTATTGTGTGGATTTCCTATCTAATTACACTAGAAGGGCTGGCTCATGTGTAAGTAAACATATAGGAGTGGAAATCCTCCAGATACGGCATTGTGAATGATAGTTTATTAGCTGGGTCATCTGGGTTACTGACTGTAGCACAGAAGAGCAGTGCCAGTTTGGGAATTAATTTGCACATTTCCTATTATCACTCTGTGAATCTATAAGCACTGCAGCCATTAGGAGTAGAACTCAGAATCTACTCAATATGTAAATGTGTCATATGTGCTCAGGTTCTTAATAAGAAAACTCTGATGTGTAGCAAAATAACACTAGGGGTTTAGTGAGGATTCCCAGTGAGTGTTTAGGGATAGATGGTGTTATTACCGTACCATGCAGGGAGTAAGTGAGATACAGCTGATGGAAGATGCAGTTAAATGGATTTTTCAGAGGCGATATGGAAGAAATATCATTCTGTTTATGGTCTTTCAACATAGAAAATACCATTTGCCATGGCCTATTACCAGTCAGATTGAAGGATGATTAACCTGTTCTGTTGAATTAAAAGCAGTTGTATAATTTAGATACATATTTTTAATTCAACAGTTATTTTTTAGCATATTAATTTGTCTAGGTTTTGCAAGGCACTCCCAAGTATTAAGGAACTGACAATTGAAAGCATTGGTCCTGGTTTTCAAAACCGCCCAATTACACTATAAGACCCTTCTTTCGTCTGCATATTAGATTGAATTTATATAAGATAAAATGTTTTACAATTTTAATATTTTTATCATTTGATTAAGACCGGTGTTCACAAAGTAAAACCTCATCAGCACTCCCAACATACTTACAGTCTCACAAACCGAAAATACGTTTTTTAGTTCCAAAAGGTACAGGAAGACACATCCTTGCTATCAATATTTTAAAAGGAAAAAAAAAAACACATCTTCTTGCATTAACATAACCCTTTCATGGCCCTCATTCTTGTATCCTCTTAAATTGGGGGACTGTGAAGTGCTTTTACGTTAGAGGTCAGTGTAGTGCCTCTATACACTGATGCCCAGTGAATGTGTCTCTTACATTGGTGGTCAGTAGTGAAGTGCTCAGTTACTTTGGTGCAGTGGCAGAACTACCACCTGTGCGGCCGCACCAGGCCTCAGCCTCGGGGGGCCCAGCACAGTTGCCGGCCACTGGATCAGTATCTTTTTATTATTTTATGTTCCCGGAACATTTTCAAAGTCCCGGGAACATAAAAAAAACATTTTTTTTTTAATACTTACCTCATCTGATCTACCGACAAACGCAG